GAGGTCACCCCACTGGCGGGTGAGTGGATGGGCGAGGAAGGTGCGAAGTAATTAGACGTGGAACCAAATACCGACTCCCAATCAGCCCCATATCCGTCACCTGAGGCTACGTAGCCTCGTAACTGGCTAGAGATCCTTCAGTGAGAGACAACACCAGTGAAGGTGATCTGTAAGGTCTCAGAAATAGAGACGGTTTCTTCCGAACACGGTTTCTTCCGTTACTGGAGAAGAGCAAGGTGTCTCATTAACGCTAGTTGGACTCGGAGTAATTTCCCCTGAAGCGGATTATCAAATTCCATCTTGCACTTCCATACAAGTTAGGAGCAACCGAAAGGAAAGAGATACACTCCTTCTCCTCAGCTACAAAACCCTATGCCTCTGTTTCATTGGTGCGATAATTCAAAACTGTCTCAATACTGGGGAGTAACGGTTGTGTAAGATCATTCCATCAACAGCTCGGCAGCACACACACGTATGAAACTCAGCCGACATCAGCAATGAAAAGGCAATAACGTCTCTTAGGTTCGAGTAGTTCGAAGGCAGCCATGTTCCACTGTTTCTCGTCAGTGGCGGATCACTTGGCAACTACGCTTTCTTTTTTCGAGCTCTGCTATCTTCATTGCGCTATTACGGGATCTACCTGAGTAACACTTGCATTTAGTAATTGAGAGTATTTCATTAAATTATATTTCCGAATGGATAAAAAATGCATAGGCCAAGGCCTAGGCCAAAGTGAATAATGAACAATGGTGACTTCCTTTCCCTCCTGTTTTTTTGCAAGTATGCAAGACAAACCTCTCCATTTTTACGCCCGGTACACCAACCCAAAGAGTCTGCTTCACTCAGGATCTCGATTGTTTCACCTAAAAGATAAAGTGAATTGGCGCTTGCACATCTAAAATCATTATGTTCAGAACGCATAAAAGGGCAAATGCCCAAGGAGAGGAGAGAAAAATAAATGAAAAAAGGCAAGCAAGCCTCATACTGTACCCTTTTGTAACGGAATCTCATCGCTTTCGTTTGGGCTATAGTTGTACAGTACAGTAGCAGTACATTTCGTGCGGAGTTCTTCATAGCCACTATACCTCGCCGAATCAAGAGTTGCAATAGACAAGGGTGGTGAACCTAGGTAAAGCAGTTACATAATTTTGAACAGCTAGTACCACCTTGTCACGTAGAATTGTCATCAAGCAGACTGCAACATCGGCTCACCCCTGTTCTCCTGTTGTCCGTCTGTATTTTGCTGAGTCGATCGGACTTTTACTTTGTGTAGATCATTCTTATGAACGCCAGTCATGCTGTTCGTGCCCGAATCATTGCTCTAAATGGATCGATATAATCAAGCAACTCTACTGATTATGAGTTCCAAGTTTGACATTCTTGTAACTTGCATATACAGTAGCGCTCACAAGTATTGGGCCAAATGCATCTTCGGTCATACTTTTCAGTGGTGACTTCTTTTCTACTGGATCTGGATCTGGTCATGCAAAATTTCAATATGCGCAGCATGAGTATAGTGTGAATATTTTTCACTATCAACCTGTAATCTGACCATGTTCTAGATATCCCAAAAAGCTTGAATCCAAAACCCAATGGAAATACGGATATGAGAGTTCTTTCCCTTTTGCCATAACTGAAGTGTACGAGCGCTAGTGCTGAACACAGTGAAGGAGAAAAACACACATAAGGTGCGAATAACTGCAGACGTCAATAACTTTGCTTTTAGAGCGAAAACTACTACCATATAAAGTCTTGCTCTCAGCTATGCGGATATTGATGCGTCGCAGCCGAGTGGTATGGATAGTGTGAAATATGCTTCTGTTCAACCTATCAAAATTTCGCGCGATTTGCTCCGCCAAGAAAAAAGTTATGAATTGAAAGCGTAAGAGCGTTTGGCCGAATACACTTGAGCGCTACTGTGTACATGATGTTGGCAGGGTTACAAATTTTATAAACGACTATCACCAACATAACAGGTTCAATTTCATTCATGATCAGATTGGAATCTTGGAGAACTCGGGGGCAGACTTGGAGAAACAGCATTGTCGCAGCACCTACCTTTCGTAGAACCTGATCTAGGGAAGTCTAGTGAGAGTGATGGACTGGTTCAGAACTGCTTCACACAGAAACAAATGGGAGCTTGCTATTCGGTGGCCCATCAAAATATTGTTCTGGTTTCCCAGTTACTTCTCTACGTCATATTCGAATACTCATGCCCCTGGCGATTCTGATATTCGAAACAGCTTCTCATTCCACTTAGCGCTTGTGATTTTGTCCAGGTATTTCAATAGAATCCTAAAACAAACCTTGCCACAATCACTGTTCGGCGCCGCTACAGTGGCTGGACCGGGCATGTCGTCTGTTTTTATAATTTGTTTAGTAAGAATCACACCAGTCGCAGTCGAATTCGAATGTCCTTTTTTTGCGATCGCTCGCAGTGATTCCGTATATTCCTGGACGAAACAATACAAAATGAATGCAAGTTAGGTGGATGGTAATTGAGCATTATTAAGCACCTCAAAAGCCGGCCATTCTGTGCATGCGTCCTTGCCGTTTAATGCCGACCATGCTTGCAAGTCAGCCGCCAATGCACTCTCGTCGCAAGATCGCAGTACATTTTCGAGATTACCATGAAGTTGAGTGAATCTAGTAAAATTTCAAAATCACGGTTATATTGTAATTTGTTGCTGATCCATCAGAAATGTAAGAATTAAACAAGAAAGCCTACGTTCAAAAAAGGTCAGAACCTTGCTACCGTAGATGACAACATAACTTCTACCTACGACGAGGAACAATCTGATGCCTCCCGTTTTTACCAGCTTCAAAGGCGCAGTTCACAATAAAAATTCGATATATCCCGCTATGAGGACTTTGTGGGACCCCCTATGCCGTATGTGGCGCTGTCACACCTTTAACGGCCTAGATAGGGTATTATAAAGGCTCAAGGACTGAACCGTGTGTATCCTTGGACGACTTTTACCGGAATTGTAGGGGCTGCACCAATCGCAAGGAAGCCAGTGTAGGGGGATCAAACAACTTGTCGTGACTGATAGCGACAGTGGAAGGCGGTTCTGTACAGATCCTGCTTAAAATAATCAGCTCTTCGTGCAATTGCAACAACTGGAATCTCGTCCACACCTCTTCCACGTTATTTCCGAAATGGTAATCTCGTCCGAACTCCATTATCCCTACCTTTGAGGAGCCTTATTTTTCACGAAATCAACCAATTTTCTTTGATTAACTATTCCCACCCTATACTTCCGCTTTTCCACTGAAAAGGGGTACCTCAAAATTATCGTAGACTGTGCCGTCAGGGTTAAGTAGTCCATGTTCTCTCCCCGGAAGGACGATTAACGAGATCTTATAACATATTCGTGGTTTCAAGACAGTGTAGAAGTACCTCAAGTAGAGTGCAAGAGAACCGTGACCTCTCGAGACTGATCTGCATTAGAACACCTCACTACGCCAGGACGAGAGTAGTGCCTCATTCTTTTTGATGTCCCCGCCGATAAATCCAATGCCTCATCTCACTAATACTCGAGAAGCTTACCAATAACTATGGAAATCAAGAGATCAAAATGGTGTAAATTCAAAAGAATGATAAGACCCCGAGAGGGCAAGAAGTTGTAGTCTCATGGACCTAAAATTGCTCCTATTTTGTGCATAGATATCAATAGATACCTGTTGTCACACGCTAAATCCACAAGTACTTTTTGGGTGGCAGACAGCATTTCAATGATGAATTTACTTCGTTTCATCTCGATTGCTTGACATTTCTCGAATTCAAACGTCATTTCCTCGATGTATGGCGTTCTGAAATCAGTCCCTCAGTGTCTTTGTCTTTCATTGTTAGTGATAAGCGATAGACTGTAATGACACTTATATGTTAGTGTATATGCAAAGGTTTTATGGAAACCACTATNCTGAAATCAGCTCCTCAGTGTCTTTGTCTTTCATTGTTAGTGATAAGCGATAGACTGTAATGACACTTATATGTTAGTGTATATGCAAAGGTTTTATGGAAACCACTATCATGAGGAAATTATCAGAGCAAAGCAGTAGTTAGCGATGACGAAATACGCTTTTCGACGTTCACGATAGAATCGTAGACCAACGAGAACTTCCATCTTTATGCTATTTTTCGATTGTTCCTGACTTGAGCGAGAAGGTGGGAACCTTAATTTAACATTGACTAGCCTCCAGAAATCTTTGAAAACATTCGCTACCTATACACTGCTGCTTCGAGATTGCTGGACGTATTCGAACCATAAGCATAAACTCGTCTGTAGGTCTATGGTATGACTGAGCTTTACACGATTTGCAACCACACAACGTCGACGAAAGCGAAATACTTTGAAGAGGAGGCAGACTCGTAATTCCCACTGTTGGGTTGCGAAATGTCTGAATGCTGGAGACCCGCGTAAAGAAGAGAGGCAGTAGGAGAGTGAACTTTTTCACAGAAATGCCATTCTAGAATCACTCCGGAAAAGTAGCCTTTTAACGACCGCCATCTACGAATTGAATAGCTACAAGTCCGTTGAAATGGATCACTCCGATATTTTTCTGTGGAGTATTGTAAATCACGAGTTACACCAGTGGTCAAACAGGGACAAGATTTTGTAGGGTGTTGAAGTAATACTGAAAGGTTGGAACACTTGGGAAAAGCGTGGTGAGAGAACTGCAGCTGCATCAGATTTATTTCAAAGGAAACAGCTCAATGCACAGCTCTCGGGAAGTGAGCCTACTCGGAGAAAACCGTTCTCTAAAAACTTTGTGTGATATCACTTTTACGGCAATCTTCAAAAAAAGAGTAAAAATTTTTTTAGGAAGGGTTATAATATTCCTCCGATGACTATTTGAAGAAATGGGCTAACGACCTACTCCATTGCTCAAGCATTCAAAAAAAGAGCGTTATGGCCGATACAGTAAGCTTAAAAATCCCACTCAAGACGATAGTGTACTGATCTGGTTCTATAATAATAACGATTCCAAAACGCATGCAAGCAGAGAAAGATTTTGAGAACAACGAAAAAAAAGAATAACTCAAACCTGCCTGTAGTGTGTGATCTCTTCAATGTTCTTCTCATAAAATAATTTACATTTTTGTACATCTTCGCGACACTTTTCCAGACGGTCGCGGAATTTTTTGGCGCCATCCCGTGACAAAGCAGGATCAGCCTAAAAGAATGACCTCACCGATCGACCTATACTCGATATGTCTTTTCCTTCTTATAATAGCTTGACCAGACTTTCGGACCTGAGTGTTGTTTAGATGAACAAGGGCTGATTTCTCTTGACGACAAGCATTGTAGTAGGCTTTTTTGCTTGCTTCGAGCTTCTCATGGAGTTTCTTCCACTTTCGTTGAGCCTAGAATAAGAGATGGTTAAGAGTACGAACGAAATTCATTATAGTTCATGTGGAATTTATAACCTTGCACTATTTATCAACTCAACGTATTTGCCCATCCTTTCACTTCTGTAGTGTAACAAAGCAGTTCAGATCCTTCAAAGAATCCAGTTTTGCAAATCACATGAAAAGGATTTGTGCATGGCTCATGCATGGAAACTGTTTAGACGTTGTAAGGTAGCAGAATTCAGCAAACGTTTGACTAATCATCCGAGATACAAGCTGATCAGGTTCGCGGATACCAAATTAATAGCGACTTATTGAGAATGGAAATTTTTTGTACATTTAGGATAAACAATTGAAGAGACCAGTATCCTCAGAGAGACCTACGTTCTGGATAAACATGTGACAGTAACGACCAGGAGTCAAGTGCCATGAGTCATTTACTCACGCATTTACAATCCGGAAAAGCTTTGATTTCCAGTTCTTTTGTACACCTTCGATCTATGATTCCCTCTTGACTGGAAGTGATGGCACTAGCGAGGGACCCGGCAATGCTTGGCTCGAACTCAAACAGCGGTACACCTACGCGACTCGTAAAACCTAACAACAAACATTCAGACCGAAAAGTGGTCAACACTACGCGCTTACGATCTAACACCAGATTGGGAACTGGACGATCGAGGAGATGGAAAAGTCAAGTAAACAGATAGAAGACCAGAGGTGAGGGGAAACCCAGAGAACTCCTTTGCCTTCTCGGTTTGGAAAGCGGCCAATACTTGAACCGCCCGAGAATCAAGCAACATTCAGACACCAGGATTTCATGAATATTTGATAGTGAAAATTATTCATTATTCCTTTTTCATGACTTTTTCCAGTACCTTTGTCCCATCAGAAGCTCGAGAGCGTCTCGAGCAAAATATAATAGCTCTTAATAGGTGAAGATTATCAAAAAATCACTGAAACTACTCTTATTGGATACTTGTATTACAGTTGGAACCTCGAATTCCGGAATGCTCAGTTCACAATAATTCTTAGGTATCCGGATTTCAATGGATTGTGAAAGTAGTAGTCCAGAATAAGGCAAAAATAACGAAGTGAACGTGAAAACACGACGTATTTACAAAAATACGAGGCTTCATGAAGTAGTAAAATAGGGGGTTGAACGAGATTGTGATGGAAAAAATGGGTTTGAAAATATGTTCGAACGAGCTGTCCGCAACGTCTGCAACTGTGTACAACTTATTTATTAGACGCTGATAAATCGGATTCAATCCTCTCTCAGTAATCCGACTCATTGTAGAAATTCTGGCGCATCCAAGCACACAGTGGATCCGAAAGAAAAATAGTCTCTAGGCTCTCCACCTTGAACATCCCCTCGGGTGTATGTCGTTTGGCGCGATGGGCGGGGACGCGCCGCCTATTTGAGGCGGCGCGACTCCGTCCATCGCCCCTTCAACTCATTCAGATCGCGTAATCTTCCGCTACCCTCTCCTCTATAGATG